AATTTTCCTTTCAACAAGGAAGTGATTTTGTCAGGAGTAAATTGAACTCAAGATTCAAGCTTGGTTCTAAATTTAGAGTCCTTGAATTTTGAAGAGTTTGGAAAATTTGAAAACTATTTATCATGTCACTAAGAATGTCTAGGAGTGGTGTTGAGAAGTATGGAGAATTATGAGGGACATGAAGTGATTATATGGGGTGAATTTTTCTATTCTTCAAAACCAAGAACCTGATTTCTTGCTACCTGGATAGTACACTGGCCTGGCCAAGCATCTTCCAGGTCTGGATAGCCTGTGGACCTGTACAGTCACATCAGCTCTCTGAGTGCTGGTACCTTCCTCAGTAGATTCAAGGGCACAATTGACACCCATGGGCACCACAAAATGGCAGGCTACCTTCATACCTCCATGGGGGAGTGATACCACAGAGATTTGCTTCCCTTGGAGGACCTCACCATCCAATTTGGGCAACTAAAACTTTGAATGAATCAATGAGCTAGCTTCATCCTAGGGTTAGTTTTTGTCTTTAGCATTTTTTTTTTCTATAAACCTGAACACAACATGTCTGGGCCATTTGATGAAGGTCAAAATAGCAGACATGGTAAGATGGTGATCAGAAAAACAGTCTTTTTAATGTGTTGCTATTTTATACAAAAATAACATAATTATTCCACTTCAGCTTAGAAGTTTGCCTTTCCTGTCATAGTGATGGTCAACAGCTAGCTATATTGCTTAAGATTAAGTACAATTGTATATAAGAGAAGACCAAAATGGTAGGTTTAATACCAGAATTTACCCTTTGCTCACATGGAAAACAAAAGAAAGAAAGAAAACCCAGGGCCGAGAGTCTGGTTCCAGGGTTATCAGTACCTAAACTTTTCCTATGTGTCTGTTCCAACTTGGTTACCATGTAACTTCCATTTCAGAATTACATTATGGTTGCAAGATGGCTGTTGGAGACCAAGTCATCATGTCTGTGTTCCAGGCAGCAGGAATGGAGAGTCTGTCTGCTGATTTTGCCCCATGTAAAGAGCTTCTCAGGAAGCCCAAACCAAAGACTTTGCCTTATACACAAATCTCTTCAACCACTCAGTCTGCAAAAGGGGCTGGGAAATGTTTTATCAAAGCATATTGCTTCCCTCAATAATATGGGTTTCCACTGGCAAGAAAGAGAAGAAGTTGGTGCTTAACTAGCTATCTCTACCCTATCCACCATGCTGTCTCCTGGCCTTGTCACAACTCTCAACTCCTAGAAGGCAGACCAAGAGGAAAGTTCTAGCAGCCGTGAGCTGTCAGGCTGTATGCATGAAAGAGGCCTGATGAAGGCCTGACACACAAATATTGTGATGTATCCTCTTTGGTTTTATGTAATTAGTTCTCTATTTGCTTCTGGCTTGTCTAAGTCTGATTTACATCAAACTAAGGTAGTATGTGGAACACCTTCCATCAGGGCCAGAAAGGACCATCAGGGATAAAGAGAAAGCAGCAGAAAGATGGCCAGTGGTAGGTGTGGTAGCTCCTTTCTCTTTGCCTTGGCTATGTGTCTACCAGCTCACCTTCCTTCAGCCTGGGGTGCTTCTGCCTCTGGTATAACCACTGAAGTAAACTCACAGGGGAACACATTTGTTTGCATGTTCCCTGAGGACAGAACAGTGCTGCAGTGTAGAGCAGGCTTAAAAGATCTTACTTTATAGAGAGCCTAAAATGTAAGCAGTTCTCCATTCAAGTCAAGTTGGGATATCAGCAGGCGATTCACATGGAATCTACTTCACTGATACCAGCAGGGAGTCAATACTACAATGACGTCACCTCAGGGACATGTGTCACTCCATTTTATAACCAAGAAAATGTATGTTAGATCATCTGCTCTGAATCACCAAAGATCCCACCTCAGAGCTGCCCAATGGGGTGGTCTATCCTAGCTTCCTTTCATCAGAGAACCATTCCCACCGAAGGAGCCTGTGATCAGATCACATATCTGCATCCTAGATCCTGGCCTCAGGTCCCAGGCATGGAGTGAGGTGAACAGCCTGGATGGACTCTGGGGACAGATGCCCTTAGCAGACCTGGGCATCCCTCAGTGAGGCTCAGGTACCAGACTTGAAATACAGTAAAACTAAATGGGGGCACCATTACTGTCATTGTCATTATTAATTACCTTTACTACACATCTCAATGTCACCCACAAATGTTTATGGGTTTAAAAATGAAAAAATAAAATTAGGTTGAGTTTAGGGGGAGAGTCCTCAACTTCCATTTTGTCTTAGCCTTTCATTCATGTTTATTTTACTGTGTGTTTATCAAACGAACAAGCCCTCAACGTGATTTGACATACCAAGAAGACAAGCAGCCCATCCAGGCCATTCATCTCACTGCGGCCTGGGAGCACCGCAGAACTCAATACAAAATAAAAGTGTTTTTTCACAATGAAATTAGCAGAAGGACTCAGAGAGCTTCCACAAGCCAGAGAGAGGTGAAGGAACTTGCTGATTTCTGAGAAGAAAAGCTCCTAAAGGAACCAGTCTCCATGAAGAACAGGAAACTTAAGAACCAACATATACAGAGCACTTTGGAATTTAGAAAGTACTTCAGGCATTATCTCATTTGAAACTCCCCAAACACTGTACAGTGGGAAGGAGATGGCAGAAAAGAAAACTAAAGTTCAGAGAGCTCAAGCATCCAGTCCTAGGGTACCCAGCTAGGATCAGTTCAGGGATGTGGTCAGAAGCAGCTTCTCTGCCACTTCCGGTGCTCAGGGAACCCACCCCTCTCCCAGATACCCAGTAACTGTGAAAAAAAATAAGTCCTCCTCCTCCCCATCCTCTTTTGTCACCATCATTGAAAGTGTTTTGCGATTTGATTCCTAGGAAAAGCATAGCCAGGAGGTGCCACTACCTTTGTACCTGCAAAGCACCTGCTACCTTCACTATACCCTGTGAGGCCCCAGAGACATGGGGCCACCACGGGACACAGGAGCTCACCTTGGTAAAAATGAGATGGAAGAATGTGCTGCACCACCCAATCCCACACAGTCTGGCCTTGGTTCCTCTACTGATGGTGATGTCTGGGACAAGTATCTGCATGCGCCTATTTACTCACCTGTAAAATGGGAGAAGAGCATGTTGCCCCCACCCCTCCTGCCAAATGGCAAGCCAAGGGGAGCACAGGCACAGCCTGCCTGCCTGGCCAAGCCAAGAGCTTGGCCCATCCTCGTGACCTGCTCTCTGGGAGCCACCTGCTGTGATGAGGCCTATGGCTGAGTGTTTTGCACTGATCTCAGGCTACCGGGATCACGTGGGTATCAACTCAGGGAGCTGCAGGTGAGACAGTCAGCATCATTACAACTGGCCAGACGCCTTGGGTCACAGGGTATCTTTGGCTGTGAGGTCAGGTAGCTTTCATTCCTACCTTTATGACCAGCAAAGTGATGGCTGTCCACCTTCAAGCAAGCAGGCTGTTTCCCACCTGAGAGGAACACAATTCCAATCCAGCAATTATTTTATTAACACATTTTCCTCTACAAATTCTCAGGGTTTTTTTTTTTTTTGTTTTTTTTTTAAGTTCAGACCTAGTGACATAAGTTCACCCATCCAGGATCCCAGATGAAGTCTTGAAATAGGAGTTCAGTCTGAAAAGACTTCACTAGTTGCAGCCCACCTACTTGCCTTGGGTGTCCAGCCCATGTGCAGGGAAGGCCTGTCCATAGACCTTGTGGGTCCTGCTGAGCCCAGACACTCGGACACTAGGGCTCAGCATCCAGCCAGGAGCCCTGGCATGACACATCTGCCCAAATGTTTTCCTGAGTGGGAGCCATGGGGCCAGCTGAGAGGACAAGGAACCAGGAATTGGTTGGAGCTTCTGAGAATAGAGGTGGCATCATTCAGGAACTCACCAGAGTCAATGAGCCTGGTGTGGATGGGTAGACTTGCCGATGCCCGTCAGCCCAACCCACACTCTGACCACTTTTCCTGGCACAGTCCTAGCAGTACGAGACCTTTCCATCATCAGGGGGACTTTAATTCATTAAGAGTGTCTCCTGAGGGAGGACGCCCCGGCCTGTTTGGGGCGTGCTGCTCCGGGTGGGCTGGGTATGGGGCACTTTAGAGGCACAGGTTGCGAGTCACTGGCTTCACCTTCCCCAACTTTGGCTCTTCTTGTCCATGCCTCTTATCCACACACAGCATTTAGAAAATTCCCTCAAGACTCTGGGCAGGGTGCGCCTATGAAGGCCAGGGGCCCGGTGGTGCGACGGCTCCGGAGCGCAGAGCTGTAAGAGTCTGACGCTTTGCTTTCGCCTTCTACCCTTGGCATTGAATCCCCTGGGCTGCGGGGAAATTCTGGGTTAGCTGGGCTCAGGGTGCCCTCGCTGGCTGCCCCAGCTCGTGCCAGGTAGAGCGCGACGGGCGTTTGTCCTGTGAGCAGGGACTGGGCGGTTGGACCCTAGGTCAGTCACGCGTACAGCGACGCGGGACGGCCCGGCCTTGAGCCCAGACCCCAGGCACTGCGCAAGGCCACAGGGCGAGCGCGCATTCCCGGATCGCAGCGCGCCGGCGGAAGTTGGGAGAGTGCGCGGAGCGGTGGGGCCAGGGGCTTGCAGGTGCCGCGGGCAAATTGCCCGACTTCGGGCAGAAAACCGGCCGCTGCGGCTCCTGCTCCTTAACTCCCTGCCCGGCCCTGCGTCCGAGCCCTGGGACTTCCGGGGCTCGGCGGAGCTTTGGGGGAGCTCGTCCAAGGGCAGCCTGCTGGAATGGAGAGCGCACAGCACGGTGGCCCCCGCAGTCCGCAGCACGCGGGCCGCGCAGCCAACGCTCAGGCGGGGCCGGAGGTGGCCCGGCTCCGGCAGGAGCGGCGGGCGGGGTGGGGTGAGGCGGGCCAGCCCCCTCCTCTCCCTCCCGCCGCCCGCCCTCCCTTCCTCCGGTCCTGTAGCCAATTAGACGGCCCCCTCGGGCGAGAGGCGTGGGGCGCTACATAAAGCGGCGGGGAGCTGTCACCCTGCTAGCAAGCAGCTCAGCGCCCAGGCCGTGCCGGTGCGCCGCAGATTCCGGCCAGGGTGAGCAGAGGAGCCATGGCCACCACTAACGGGGCCGTGGAAAACGGACAGCCGGACAGGAAGCCGCCTGCCCTGCCGCGCCCCATCCGCAACCTGGAGGTCAAGTTCACCAAGGTGAAGTGGGCGTCCCTCACACCCGACGGCTGCCAGCCTTGGCGGCTGAGCAGTTTGCCCCGGGGCGGTGGGGGTGAGGGGCCAGGGAACTGGGATTCTGCCGGGCGCTCCCGAGACCTGAGACTCCGTGCCCGGGCCTGGCCCTCTGGAAACCGTACCCTTCGCGGGGAGCAGCCTGGGCGGGCTTGCAAATGGCGGGGCTCAAAGCTGTTAGCCTCGAAGCTGAGAGAGGGAAGCCGAGCAGCGCCCACACTGTGCCAGGCTCGGCGCAGCCCCGACGTGTCCCTGCACCGCCCTCTTTGAACGCGAGTGTTGGTGCGCGCTGCGTTGACTTGCACCCAACTCGGTGCCCCCAGACTCCTGGGCATGATTTCCGAGACCGAGGAATCTGGTTTGGAGGTCAGAGAAGGCCGAGAGGGTGTTTCACAGCACGGGCCACATCTGGGAGCCGCAGTTGGGAGACTGTGGCAAACAGGGTCCTTGGAGCAACGTGAGAAGCACCGGGCATCTTCTGTGCTTAGCTTATTTCCAGCTTATTAGCAGAACTAGGGCGAGTAGAAAGAAAGGTGCTCGCTGATCGAACTGCCCTGGAGCCCAGAAGGTCCTGGTGTTTTTAGGAGAGGAGCGCGTTCCCGGAAGGTCTCAGGTCCGGGCCTTGGGCAACCGCGGGTGGTAAGGATGGAGCCCCGGGTCCGCCATCTCACCGCTGAGGTGCAGGGCTCTCTGTTTCTATGCGCTGTGGTCTGGGAGGCCACTGAGATCACCTGCCTGGGGCAGAAGGGAGGAAGGAAGATGAGAGGCCTCAGAGCTGAGGCTGAGGAAGACTAGGAGACCTGAGCCTGGAGAGCCGGGAGAGCGTCTCCAGGGAGCACACCCCAGACTGTTTGGGGCGCTGCCCTCCTTGGGGTGGGTATGGGGCACTTTAGAGCACAGGCCAGGCGCCACTGGCTTCGCTTTTCCCAACTTTGGCTTTGTTGTTTTTGCCACTTAATCCATATCCCCCGTCTGCAGCAGACGTAGCACTTAGAAAATTCTCTCATCAATTTTACTTTCAGAAGTAGCAATTATCGTTCTCATATAGTTTTAATCAAGTAGAGAAAGTTGCAGGACATTATGTGTGGCCTTTGGATCCTGGTCTCTTGGCACTTAATTCCCAATGTCGGCTGGGCCTCTGATCACATGACATTTAAATTAACTGTAATCAACAGAGACGACACATCACTGTAAATGCAGGAAATTATTTTTAATGTAATTTTCCTAGTGGTATCAGCTTCAGAGCGAAAACTCCAACACAAATTCTGGGAACGGTGAGAATAGCATTTTAATTTTTTGAGACCCTAACCCTACAGTGCTTGGCTTTAGTCTGTGTAGTGGTAGGGTTTTTTGTTCGTTTATGTTGGTTGTATAGGGGTTTGTAATAGTATAGAAACCAGAAAATAAATACATCATTGTCCTTTTGCTTTATCCATTTTTGAGTCCTACCAGAGCAATTTGGCCACATAGGAAAAGTTTATTTCCTTCTCTATGATTCTTTAGGACCCTTTAAAAGTATAAATGTAGCCCTTAGGGAAGAAGATCTCAGAAGGTTTGTGGAGTAGTAATTAGTGACTCTTGCCGTGGGGGTGCCACCCCTTCTTGCTGGTTTAACGGAAAGAGCATAGAATTGAAGCTAAGAAAGGTAGTAGATAAGCCCAGGAGATGAGGGCTCCAGCTGCCTAACACCAGGCCGCACCCTCCTCACCCATGAGGGACAGTGCCACTGCCTGCTGTGTCCTTGTTTCCCACCCATCTCTGGAGAGGCCTCCCTCGCCTGTGTGGCTGAGGATGGGCACCCAGGCGCTCAGTGCTCCGGGAGCCTTGGCTGGAGAGGCAGAGGAGAGTCCCTGCCAAGGGGAGAAGCCGAAGAAACTGAAGTTCAGAGCTGAGGCCTGGGGCGGGTGAGCGGGTGGAGCAGGAGAGCCAGCAATGGTCTGCTGTTTTCAACACTGAGTCATGGTGCTTCTCCTTAATGGGGGACACACCAGAGAGGGGCCAATGGAGCCCTGGCCTCACTGGGGCCATTTCCCAGAATGGTCCAACTTCCAGCATGACTTTGTCAAAACTCCTTCATTTGTCCTTAGATTTGGACATGGAGTCCTGTAGGGTTGAGCTGTGTGATTCTGGAGAGGGACAGGCCCCTCCAGCATGTCCACACAGATCTCAGAAGGTAGAAGGCCTCTCCAATTTAGAGAACCTCTTTTTTAGAAAATTTCTTCCAGTAGCAGAGTTTTTCTTAATTTACGGTTTTATGGTTCATTAAAACATAGGTTTTTATTATCTTTTTTATGAAAAATAAAATTCCCCCAAATCTCCCTTTCCAAAAACATATTCCTCTTGAGTTTAGCTGAGTAGCCCAACATCCAATGGAAGTTACTAGAAATGGGATCAGCACAGTTCACTGGTAAGACTGCCATCTTCACCTGTGCCTTGTACCTTTGGCAAAATGTGAATTCTGTCTAGAGCTCAATGTAGTTTAATTTTATACTTCTATAAGGTTTGTTTTATGCCAATTCACAAATAAAGGGCAACATTTCCTTTCTAGACCTTTTACCCTGCTTGGGAGTTTAAAACAATATAGCAGCATAATCTGTAGGCCACATTCACATTCACTGGCACTTTTCTTACATTTGTATTTTTGTTTTGTTTTAATGGAGAAAAAAATCAATACTAGAAACCAGTTACAAAATTATTTACAAGGTCTGGTATGGTGGCTCATACCTCTACTGCCACTTTGGGAGGATGAGGCAGGAGGATTGCTTGAGGCCAGGAGTTTGAGACCAGCATAAGCCACATTGCAAGAACCCCGTCTCTATAAAAAATAAAATAATTAGCTGGGTATGCTGGCATAGGGCCCTAGATCCTACTGCTCTAGAAGCTGAGGCAGGAGGATTGCTTAAGCCCAGGAGTCTGAGGTTGCAGTGAGCTATGATGATACCACTGCACTCTCTCCCCAGCAACAGAGTGAGACCTTGTCTAAAAAGAAAAAAAGAAAAAATTGGTAAATTAGAAACATTGTGATGGGAAAATATGGTTAGAATCAAACAGTGAATTTTTTAAAGTTGTTGGTTAGAAAGGACTGCAGATCAATGTCATGAACAACCAAATATTCTTTTCTTTGGAAGAACATGCTTGGATGAAGCATAGCAGACATCCGATCATTGCAATCTGTTTCCAGCCCCCTTATTTATATTCGTTTCTGCCACCTTCTCATTTTCCCTCCCCCTTGGAATTGATACCAGGAAGGATCTAGAATCAGCAATTTTCACTGACAGTCTCTATTATCTAACCCACGAAATTTCATCTTTCTACAAATGGGCCTCTCGGCCTGGCTGCACTTTCCTCCCCACACTAACTTAACTCCTCTTCCCCACTTATTAATTTCTCTCTGTTACCAAGTGATGACTTGCTGGATGACAAAAGTGAACTCTTGGATTTGGTTTCAGCTGGAAGAATAAACCTGTAATTGTAGCCCAGCCTTTTCCTCGTGTGCTTCCCTGGGGGCCCAGCCTCACGTTGAAGGCTCTGAGCTTCCAGAAGCTACATGGGCTCGTCCCAAAGGTGATAGATACTCTCAGCTCTGGATTCCAGACTGCAGGCAGGTGCTCTTCACTCACTGACCAGCCAGAATCTGCTTTCTGTGCCTGGTCCCCACCAGATGCAGGCTGTGCTTCCTTCCTTCCTTCCTGATAAGCTGTGGAACTTATACAAGAGAGCCCTATACAAAGAATGTAGCCAAGACACACTCTTAGGAGACAACTTCACTCTCTCATCTATCCTCAATTGGGGAGTCAGATGTTCCAAATGAATCAGTTTCACAGTAATTGCAATTAGCCCTTGAGAGATGCAGTTTTTCCTTTAAACAATTTGGCACCTGTGGCTCAAAGGAGTAGGGCGCCAGCCCCGTATGCCAGAGGTGGTGGGTTCAAACCCAGTGCCACCAAAACTGCAAAAAAAAAAAAAAAAAAAATTCGGAAGAAATGCAAAATAGAGCCATTTATGCTATTGCATATAGATTTTGAAATGGAAACTAATGAACTAATTCTGTACTAAGAAATTATTGATGGCATTTTATTTGGTGGGAATGTGTGTTAGTCATTTTTTTGTTTGCTTGGTTTTTTTGCAGGGTTTTTTTTTTTTTTTTGCCGGGTTTGAACCCGCCACCTCCGGTATATGGGGCTGGCACCCTACTCCTTTGAGCCACAGGTACCACTCTGTTAGTCATTTTTGTGACTGGGGTCTTCCTGATGCCATGATGGGCTGTGATGACAAAGCCGTCCCAAGCTGGTGCAGCCGGTTGTCTGTCTTCTCCTTGGGCAGCTGGACCTCCCTGCTGTCAGAATGTGTTTTGTGTATCATCTGCCTCCTCTGTTCCTAGTTCTTTTCCAAAAGCGCTCTCTTTTAATGCAGTGCTTCTAAGGTAGTTAGAACTTAGCATAAACTAACAGTAAGTAATACCTACATTTCATGCGTGGACTTTGTACATTCTTTTTAGTTTGCTCATGACATCTTTTTTTTTTCTTTAACATTCTTATTCTTAGCTATGTTTTAGATAATTGAAGTTTTCAGTAAAGTAATTTTTGTGGGTTATTTCTTAGATTCCTGGGTATAAACTGTTATTTATCATATCTCTCAATATGACCTAGAAATTTTCTAACACAGATATTTAACTTTGTATTCTAACACCAGCTTTTCTCAAACCCAACAGGGAAATACAATTTTTACAGGGAATGCAGAGGAGGGGTGTGCTGATGTGCATTACAAAATACTGAAGGGTGATGGCGAGATCTTCCTATAAACCAGGTTCCTCGACAATCTTATAGGGAGGAGGAAGGGAGTGCTCAGCACTTACTTACCTTTCAGGGAAAGGCAGACTGGTTAAGACTTTTTACACAGGGTGTCATAAAGTCCGGACTTTATGGACACCTTGTATATAAAGCTATTTAAACTCCCCCAAAAGTCTATGGGGAAATAGGATCCAATTCCCAGAATCCATGAATCCATGTTAATGCTAACAGTAAGAACCATTGAGATGAAACTCTAAATGACTTTAGTTTTATTGTCACAACAACTTGGATTGTAATCCTGAGTCTCTCTCTGATCTGTTGGTCACTTGACCCTGGTGCTGCATGTCTCCCCCCGCCCCCAGGTCTCATCTGTAAAACTTCGAGGGGGTACAGGGGAGCAGTGGGAAGAAGGTGGACAAGACATTACCTAAGGTCTTCAGCATGTTGAAATTATATGACTTTGATTTAAACCTAATTCCGTGCACTTCCTTTCTTGGTTAGATATTTATCAACAATGAATGGCATGAATCCAAGAGTGGAAAAAAGTTTGCCACATATAACCCTTCAACTCTAGAGAAAATATGTGATGTGGAAGAAGGAGATAAGGTGGGTTCTTTTCTTTCTTTCTTTTTTTTTTTTTTGCCTTTGCATAATTCAATTATAGATGACTAAAAGATAAGGAAGTGGTTTGGTGTGGCTCTTAGCACTGGCCCACCCTCAGGGTAGCTGCACGAGTTGGCGTGTGCTCCTCAGATGCAGGGCCCAGAATGGGATTGATTATGGACGATCCTCTCCAGAAAGTCACTCTCCTTTGATAGATGTTTTTCCATCTATAAGGATGACCTCAGCTATCCTTGTCACATGGCTGAAGGAAAGGTTTTTATCAATTATTTGAACTTGGAGGCATTAAAGAATCTTTCCAGAAAGCATTTCCAGCTGGTGTGTTTCACCAAGTGCAGCATTCTGGCAGGAGACACTTTTTAAAAAAAAAATAGACTTGAAGGAAAAAAGACTTGCTACCCAAGTGATGGGGTGGGGGAAGTAATAACATCATATAACCACCAGTTTCTACTAGAAATTTACATGAGCGTGGAAAGCTATCATCTTTATGTCCCTATTTGCTAGTGTAAGGTCTGTATTATGATATAGAAGCTAAGAGACTTCTGGATGTGTCCTTTATACATTTCAAGACCATAAAGTCTGCTTTGAATGTCAGTGTCACTGGAGGAAAAGTCTCCCAAGGAGGGGAGGGAGAGGTAAACTTCCCTTCCTGCACTGGGGTGCTAGACTGACACTCTTAACCCTTGTATTGTTGATATTGGCCCAGGCACAGAAGGCAGGCTCTGCCTGGGCAGGTAAGTGGAGAGCACCCGCTTCCACTATGGAGGCTATGGATGTGTGCAGAGTTTGGGCTTGGGTTTTATCCTACCCATGAGTTTTACATAGGTATGTAGTGCACAGTGGCCCTGTCTGTACAGACCTTCCTCAGACATCCATGCTAAGTTCTGAGTACAAAGAAAGCACAAAGGAGCTCATACCAAAATGTGAGGGCATTGAAGGGAAGGTGTGACACAGAATGGGATTCCCACTTGAAGATCCCCAAGTGCCTCATACAGATGTTAGGAGTGGGGGGTCATTTGAGATACTTTCCATAGGCTTGAGTTTTTACCTTGGTCTGGGTGATTACTCTGAGGACCTGGAGACAGAGGCCACCCCACCCCCGCAGCTGGAGAGATCCTGGTCTCCACCCCAGATCCTGGAACAAGGAATTCTGTGTCCCAATATCTCCCCTGCCAAAGCTTCTGCTCATCCCCAAGCAAGCTCTAGAGCAGTGGTTCTCAACCTTCCTAATGCCGTGATGTATTTTCATTGTTACAAAGGGGTTGCGACCCGTAGGTTGAGAACCGCTGTTCTAGAGACCCAGAATCTCAGTGAGGGTCTCTCCTGATTGATATCTGGTGTCCATTAATTGCTGCACCTCCCCAGAGAGAGGTACAGAGGGGCTTTTGAGATGAGCAAAGCCCACCAATAACCAGAGCCTCAAAACCCAGGGAATAAGCCTTGTCCAGGGAAAAGAAAGAATACCACTACTCCAAACAGTTTTCATGTCTTGTTAAAAAGAAGGCTATGGGGCAATTATTCTATGAGTGTACAAAAGATCCAGTTATGTCCCCATGGAGTAGGTGAGGCTGAAGGGAGAAAAAAGGGCTCCATGGTAATCCCCACACCTCCCTATCTGTGGGATGCTCCACTGTGGTCAGTTCTGCAGCGCACATGAACCTCCCCCCACCTGCCTATTCTCACTCTGGGGCCACAGCTCCCAAAAGGTATAAAATGCCCAGATAGACACTGCTCACCTAATTTGTACACAGCAGGCTTGTGTGAGTTCAAACTGAGCTAGCAAATAGAAAATCTTTTCATACTTGGGTCATCAGGAAAAATACTCAAGGTCAGTGACCTTATAAAATAGTTTTAAATGCTTTTTATAATCAGAAGGAACACTGATGCTTGGCCACCATAGAAAACCCAAAAAAGATTAAAGACATAAAAAAGAAAGAAATCACTTGTAAGCCCCCAGGCATTCATGTGATTTAAAACCTTGCTACAGTTTGCAGCGTGTCTGCCACCCCTGCTTCCTTGGCTGTACCCCAAGACAGAGGCACTACCCTACTGTTCTCTATAACTGACAGCCAGGTGGTCCCAACCTGCAGTCATATCAAAGGACAACATCCTTTCTCTATTGTTTTGGTCACTCAGCTTGATGTGGACAGGGCCGTGGAGGCTGCACAGGCCGCCTTCCAGAGGGGCTCACCATGGCGCCAGATGGATGCCCTTAGCCGGGGCCGCCTGCTGCACCAATTGGCTGACCTTGTAGAGAGGGACCGTGCTATCCTGGCTGTGAGTACACGCACATGGGGGCTGGTATGGGGTAAGCCAGCCTCACAGAGAGTCCTGTCTCTGTGGGGTATGGAAGGAAAGATTGAGGACTGTGGTTTTGTGTGACTGTGGGTCTGTTCTGTCTTTTGAGATAAGCTCTCAGGTGGAAGGCAGGTGTCTGTGTCCCTGGATTGCATTCCTTTCCTTCTGAAGTCCCCTTCAGCTCAGCTTATGACCAAGAAGTTGCCTGTAAGAAGTTCAGCCACCTGTGGCTCAAGCAGCTAAGGCACCAGCCACATACACCTGAGCTGGCAGGTTCGAATCCAGCCCGGGCCCGCCAAACAACAATGACAGCTACAACTGAAAAATAGCCGGGCATTATGGTGGGTGCCTGTAGTCCCAGCTACTTGGGAGGTGGAGGCAGGAGAATCGCTTGAGCCCAGGAGTTGGAGGTTGCTGTGAGCTGTGATGCCACAGCACTCTACCCAGGGCGACAGCTTGAGGCTCTGTCTCAAAAAAAGAAAAAAAAAAAAGTTCAGCCACATCATGGTTCTCAGACTGAGGACATTCATACACTTACTTAACTCTTTTTTTCCCTGTTTTATATTAACTGCCTTTTAGACTTAAGTTTAGCCTCATCCTCAGTACCAATATTTATGACATCACTGGCTTAATGTGTTGGTTTTATTTTTTTAACTACTCATTAAAATAAATGCCCCCATTTAATGTAGAAAAAAATGTCCCCATATGACTTAAAATTATTCCTCTATCATCCCTGACTGGGCAATGTCAAGTGTGTGTAGACCAGTGGTAAGAGCAGGATACCCTGGTTATAGGAAATCTCAGAGTAGGAAAGACCTGGGTTCAAATCCCACCTCTGCCACTTATTAGCTGTGTGGCTTTGAACAAGCTGCTTAACTTCTCTGAGATTTATGTCTTCATAAAAATGTTATCTAAATATTGTGAGAACAATCCACATAAAAGTCATAATAGAGTCCCTGATGTGTAGGAAACACTAAATAGATGATCACTGTTATTAATAATAGCAGCTATCAATAATGCTGTGTGAAGGCCTGGGCTCTCCTCCCTCCTGCTGGCTGGTCATTTCTACATACCTTAGTTCCTCAGCTGCAGGATGATGTACACTATGGGGTTGGCTGTGAAGGCATCAATAAGTTGCTGATGCATTATTCAAGAGGATCCTCAGACCTTCCTTTGGTCTTGCGGGGGAGATCAGAGGACATCATGGGGCCATCTCTGGCTTTGAGATCCTTAGCATCTCCAGCATTCTGTCCTTATACAGCTATGACTCTTGTTTTGAAAACTCATTCCAGACCTTAAGGCACAGTTTAAAGGGAAGGAAATCTCCTTTTTGGCCTTCAATTTGGAAAAATGGTTTTCCTGGTGTTGGGAATAAGCAGTAGTGGCCACTCTTTTAAAGGAGAGTATTAGCCAGGACTGAAACTGAAATTGCTTTTGTCCCTGAATGTGTTTCTTGGCAGTGGAGTAACTCTCAGGCACAGCTCTGGGGCGCATTTCCTTGTGTGTGCCTCGGCACAGAAACTGGAGCTCACCTTCCCTCCTCCCTGGTCTGACATGTTCACCAGGTTAGGGTAGCTCCCTCCCGGGCGAGCACTTCTCTCTGAGCAGCCTCCGGTCTCTTCCTGCGATGAAAGCCAGCCTCAACCCTCAAGCTGCCAAACTGGCTTTTTCAAAAACATTTCTGTTTTCACCCAGCATGAGCTCATCAGTCGGCAATGTCCATGTGGACTAATAGCAGGCTACAGAGGATGTGCCCTGGGCGCCCCTCCCCACCCTGTCCTCATAGTATCATTGTAGGAGCAGCGGCTGCAAAGCCACCTTCATCTTGAGCTCACCCCATTGTCCTGCCACAACTGTGTTTTCATAGCAGACACAGCACACTGGAGGCACTCAGAAAGCAACCCAGCAAATCACTTCTGGCATTGGGACCTTGCTGCCCACAAGAAATAAGATCCAGCTCTTTGCCACAACATGAAAGGGGCAAGAGAATTACTGGCAAATACGGTTTTTAAAACTCCAACCACATCAGAGGAAAGCACCCTCACTCTCCACCTTGATATGGTTTCCTGGAGTTTCCATGCGGCGTGTTCCCTTGCCGGCTCAGTGGTTTGACAAAGCTGCGTATTTACTCTTCTTTGTTGAACCTGGAAACATGTGGTGGATCCAGTGGCCCCTGAGTTTCTCTCCTTTGCTGAGTCACCCTGTGCCTAGACTGTAGCTGTTAGGGTGCTCATCTGGGGGTCTTCCAAATGGTCCCTGGTCACTATCCTTGTCAACCTCGGTGCCATTTCTGGCCCACTCATCTGAAGCTGTGGAGCAATGGGAGTCATAATATGTTCATTTTGCAGAAGGTATATTTTTCTCTAAAAATGTTAAAGTATATAAACTTTAGGAATGGCTGTGGTTTACTCATGATAGAGCCACGATAACAAGTTGTTTAAAAGATAATGGTTTTAATCAGTAGCTAACACTCAATTTCTCAGATTCAGTCCTGTGTACTCAATCTTCTTCTTTTCTTTCCCTCCCTCCCTTCCTTAGAATTTCTTGCTTAAACCTATCATGATCTAGGTTTTGCTTGTAAAGATTGCATAAAACCAACCTGGCAAATTCATGTTGTCACTCCAGTGAGAAAACTTGTCCAAATTAACAATAAATTAATAAAATAGTAGTCAATCTGGGCGGCGCCTGTGGCTCAGTGAGTAGGACGCCGGCCCCATATACTGAAGGACCAAACTGCAACAAAAAATAGCCAGGCATTGTGGCAGGCGCGTGTAGTCCCAGCTACTCAGGAGGCTGAAGCAAGAGAATCACCTAAGCCCAAGAGCTGGAGGTTGCTGTGAGCTGTGATGTCACAGCACTCTACCAAGGGTGACAAAGTCTCTAAAAAAAAAAAAAGTAGTCAATCATTGTACATGTTCACCATGTACCCAGCTTGTTACAGGCATTAACTGTGGTGTTTATTACCCCACTTCAGAGATGAGGAAACTGAAACTCAGAGAGGTTAAGTAAGTTCTCCAAAATCACCCAGCCAGAGGTGGTAAGCCAGGACTGGAGACAGAAGTCATCTCTCATTTAATTCCAGAAAAGGGCCAAGAATAAACTCAGACAGATATGCAGATACTGTCTGAGGTAGCACCGTTCTGGAGACCTTTTGGCATGATTTGCAGTTGCTAGGTTTCCTCCAGAAAAATAAAATTTCCAACTCAGAATGCAAATCAATAGAAGCCAACTGTATGGAGCACTTGATGTCACATTGGCCTGACCTGGTCACTGATAACAGCTGCTGTGTGTGGGACATACACCCTGGACCCAGATCAGTCCTGTCCTCTGGGTCCCCAGGTGAAGACTGGCGAAGCCACACACCTCTTTGGTGTTAAGGGGAAGATGATGACAATCATTATAACCATCACAGTTAGCCGGCACTCACTGCTGGCAGGCACTGTGTTAGTGCTCTGTGTATATTGACTCCTTTTGCTGTCACATTGGCTCTATGTGGTCACTGCCCTTATTATTTTCATTTCACAAATAAGGAAACTGAATCAGGGAGAGATTCAGGGACTTACCCAAGGCCACTTAACTAGAGTTAATTTCAAATGGTTGCCTCCTGTTTGCAGGGGATGTGGCTTGTCCCTGTGGGAAAGTCTGTCCAAAAGTAAACGTCCAGGGGCAGTTGGCCTAAAGAGGGATCACTGTGCTGGCTGGACACTGGGTGCTGGTCATGCTGCTGAGCAGCTGGGTGGCCTTGGCTTAACCACTGGGCTCTGATTGCCTAAGTGTCTGCACCTCAGGGGTGAAGCATGTGGGAGTGCCCAGGGGTTAGTCCTGGGCATGAGGAGGGGCCTTTCCCCCTTGTTCAGTCATCATCTCACTCCATTGACTCTTTAGCAAGAATCTAGCCCTGGGCTATGTGTCAGGATGGCCACTTCCTGCAGAGACGGATGACTGGAGGTTTCAGTGCTGGGCTCAACTGGGGCCACTTGTCTGAGGGACAAAGGGTTTCTCTTCCACCCAGGCTAGAAATAGCAAAGAATCCCTGCCATTGAGTCGTTGCACACTGGCTCTGGGTGATGGCCTCCCTCACCAGCAGGGCGAGGCTGCTCCCTCTGACTTCACATCCGGCAGTCAGGGAGGGATCACATCTTTTGCTGTACTCCTAGAGCAACCCTTTTGGACTCGGTCACTTTCCATAGCCACACTGGCCAGCCACCATGGGAGAGTACACTCTTCCCTTTCTCTTTTGTTAGAGGAATCCAGCCCATGTCCAGCCATCCTGAAGCCAGCTAACCTCAGAGAGCTTCCTGGGAAGGCATAAACATGTGTATTTGGGTCACACAGTGGAGGCCACCATGCTTCATATGGAAACCAGACATGAACGTGTGTCCCTCCCAGCAAGCCCTTCCAATCAGCCTTCCAACCCAGGTCTTTAAGGGGGATGCGTGCACATGCTGTGGCTCCCACCCTACCCTGCTCTATGTGTTTTGAAATAAAAGATGCCCTTACAATCTGAGAGATTTCTGAAGAGACCAGTAAACTGTAAGGTCTAGAGAGCCATGTCCTAGGACTGTGTTCTCTCCCTAGTCCCCCAGTCCCCCAGTCCCCCTCTATCCCTCCACTCCTAGCCTTAAACAAATTGTTCAAACGAAAAAGAAAAGTGAGCCGTATCTGAAATGGATGTCATTTTGTCATCACAGACCCTGGAGACGATGGACACGGGGAAGCCATTCCTTCATGCCTTTTTTATCGACCTGGAGGGCTGTATTAAAACCCTCAGATACTTTGCTGGTTGGGCAGATAAGATCCAGGGCAAGACCATCCCCACAGGTGAGCGGGATGGGCTGTAGCTTCCTTTGGGGTCTCTTTGGGGCTCTGTCTTCTCATTAATTTACATCTGCACAGCACTGTGCTGATTCTTCTAAGCAACTTCAGTTTTGAAACTGAGTTCAAATCACTTAATTGTGTAATAGATAAGACACAGAGAAGGTACCTTTGTGGGCGTCTGTGTTTCTTCTTTGTCCTTTTACTACTTGAAATTTTCAACCTTGATTTTGTCCTTCCCCATCCTATAACCCTCTTCCAGATGATAATGTTGTGTGCTTCACCAGGCATGAGCCCATCGGCGTATGTGGGGCCATCACTCCAGTAAGTATGGCTGCTTTTCTCAGTAGATTCTATGAAGACCTCACCTCACTGCCCTGTGTCCTTTAGAACCAATTTCTGGTGTGTTTTTATCCAATTGCACCAGCATTGATTGAGCATTTGCTCGGTGGCATGGTACTCTGTGCTTGAGGGCCTGGGGAATGGATGAAACTCCATTTCTGCTCTCAAGGGCCTGGCTCTAGGTGGGCAATGGAATGCCCTGTGGATTCCAACCAGAGTGGTCAGGAATAGCCAGCCCCCACCCCCAGGGTAGTGGTCTCTTAATGGATCTTGATAAGAAAGACTTGTACAAAAAGAAAGTGGGTTTTCCAAGCAGCAAGGAAGCTACAGCCCATCCAGCTCATCTGGCCTGGCCAAGGGTGTGGAAGTAGCCAGGCTACTTGGAAAAACGTAACAGGAAGGCTCAGGCAGGGAGAGAGTGAGTACCAGTGACAGGTTGCGAGGGATAGCTCCCAGCAGCCTGGGCTGCCAAGGGCCTGGGACTTAATTCATTGAGCAGTGGGGATGCTTATAGGTGCCCAGGGAATGCAGTGATATAGCCCATCTCTTTGGGAAGCCTCCTGGCTACTGTAGCAACAGCTGAGCAGGGAGCTGGGGAGACAGGTGGCAGTGTGAAGTGAGGATAGAAAAAGTGCTCTGTGGAAGGAAAGAGGATGTTGCCCCTCCAGCAGACGTTTTAAGGGGGACAGTAGTACACATACGGCAAAGTCCTTCTTGCAAAGGCTACCTACTGGCACCTCCCAGAATGCAGTTTAAGAAGCACTGTGCAGGGATCAGTTCTGATCATCACTAAACACTTCTGTGTTTCCCCTTAAGCCCCCAATCCCATGACATGCGAATGTCCTCCACAGAGGTATCCTTGGGCACATGGGAGAGGGTGGGGAGTTGGACCCAGGTCCCCAAGACCCTTGTGCTCTGTTGCAGTGGAACTTTCCCCTGCTGCTACTGGTATGGAAGCTGGCGCCTGCCCTGTGCTGTGGGAACACTGTGGTCCTAAAGCCGGCAGAGCAGACGCCCCTCACCGCCCTGTATCTTGGCTCTCTGATCAAAGAGGTAAGACGTCCAAAAAGAAAATACTGTGTGTTCTTGATAACATTCCCACTCCTAGGAACCAGGCCACCGTCACAAGACAGGACAGTGGCATCCTGCTCAGTCGAGTGGGAAGAGAATGACTCCCTGTGTTTTGCTTGGCAATGGCACTTTCTTTCTCCTGCTTGTGGTCACCAAACTGGAAGAAACTCCACTCCTCCCAGTGGTCCTGATGAGAACACCTAACTCTCATTATGGGCTCAAACCTATAGTTTAGGACCCAATGTTTTGTCTGGAGAATTTGCAGGAGGGTCACCCAAAAGGGTGAGCCAAATATTTGGGAGGTTATTTGGGTTTTGCATTGGTGGTGTGTGAAATGCTTTGTTTTTCTCTGCTGGGGTGACTTTGCCAGCTGTAGCTGAGTAGCTGTATCCATGCCAGGTGCCCCAGGTGCCTCCTCATCAATGCCCCCTGGTCTGCAAGCAGTCATCTTCTTCCCTGGGGCAGCCACAACTTAGGGAACCAGCAGGCTAAAGGGACACCTCCTTTCAGACATACTTGGCAACATATTTCAGTTATCCCATCTCAGCTTCTATGTAGCAAAACTTTAGAAGAAGAAACAAAAAGAAAAGTGGGACAGAGGAAAAGATCCTTTCATTTCACTTCTCAGCCAGGCTGAGACAGCTGAAATGCAGGTCCTGTAGTGCTCAGACTCACAGTTGGATAATGTACCAGTTTTCCACTTTCTTTCAATGGGCCATGGAGAATGTGATTAAATCACCTTGATGACACTTACAGATTCTCAAGTTACAACTGTTAAAAATAATGCCTATAAAACTAAAGACTCAAAGCCCAGGTCCTAAAATCTTGACTTTCAAAACTAATGCATAGTGTGAGACACAGGACAGGTGAGGTATAGCATCCTCCACCTTGTTTATTTTGTGGTGTTCTTGGCTAATGACGAGGCTCAGTATGTCTAACATATGAGGCATAAATGTGCAAGAAATTGGCAGCCTCACCTTCAGGAAGAGCCAGCTCCAGCTGGGACCCTGGGTCAATGAGCAGAGAACTTTCAGGCAGTGATATTTTGTCTCCACTTGGAACATTAATGGGGTCAATTTAAAAATGAAACCTGAAGCTCAAGAAGGATTTTTGTAGGTGGCTTTGAACTTGACAGGTTGTGACCAAGGTATTTCTCTTCCTCTCAACGAATATACACTGCCACACACATCACACACAATCTCACACACATACACACTGTCACATACACACATGTATGCATAACTGACATATACATACACAAACATGAACACATATATATGCGAATACACACTTGAATGTATATACATACATACACATGTGTGCACATATACATACACATATACAGAATGGTGCTCTCCTACACATGTACATACAAATACTATAGGAGGGCCACAGACACCTTGCAGCATCATTATACATTTGCTCACAACCCCTTTTGGGGTGAGGAGCTCAGCCTGGAAGGAGGGGTGGACACCTCACCCCAGCCCAGCCTGCATCCTGATCTGGCGGCAGAAGATGAGCCCAGGTCTGCTCTCAGGGGATCTGAGAAGTGGGTAGAGTCCTGGGGTGAATGAGTGACCCAGGCCTAAGCTCAAGGACATCACACAGCCATGGCTCTCTCTGTCCAAACATCTGTGGCAGACAATGGTCCCTCTTCTTCATCTGAATGCCATTTTGATTTCCTCCCAGGTTGGGTTCCCTCCAGGTGTAGTGAACATCGTGCCAGGATTTGGGCCTACAGTGGGAGCAGCAATTTCTTCTCACCCTCAGATCAACAAGATAGCTTTCACTGGGTCCACACAGGTAACCCTTCTCATGCATTTTTGGCAAAATTCATAGTGAATGCATTATTGGAGACTAGAGACTTATGAACTTTTCCTTTGACAGGGTCAAATATGGTTCATTTTTCTTCTAAATTTAACTATGTTTCAGAAAAAAAGAAGTCACTGGCCCAGTTTCCAAACTAAATAAATAGAACTCAGAAGCCTCAGAAGAAAAGAATGAGAGATAAGATAAAATAAAAATGTAAAATATCTGTACAGCGAACATCATCATAATTAAGATTAAGAGATAATTAACAAGCTGGGAGAAAAACACTTGTAATGATTTAGCTCTCCAAGAATTTATATCTTTCATATGTAAAGCACTCCTACAAATCAATAATAAAACAAAAAAGACCCAACTGAAGGGCGGGGTAATGAGAACCTCAGCAAAGAGAAATACTGAATGTTCTGTAAGCTTAACCTAATTGACTGGTAATCAGGGAAGTGTGAATTTGAGTGAAAATCACACTCTCCCTTTGTCAGATCAGTCAACATTGACATGGGCTTATGGGGAACCTGGGAAGGAAGCAGTCGCTGACTCTGTCCCTAAAGTGGAGGGCAATAGGTAGTCCCCATCAAAAATTTTAAAGTGAAAAACTTTTGAGTCAGAAGTAGCATTTTAAAGAAATTTCTTAGAGAAATATTCTCGTGGGCCTGCAGGGATGTATTTCAAGTCTTTTGTAGCTATTCTGTGAATTGTTTTATAGCCATTACAATGGGGAATGCAGACCATGATCTCTTAGTGAAGCACAAAAACATGAACTGTAGGAAATTATCCACAATCTGATCTCATTAGTAAAAGTGTATGTGTGTAGAAGCATAAATTGTCCTCAGGGATCTCAAGAAATTATTGCCTTGGCTACCTCTGGGGTGGGTCCTGGGTTCTGGAGTGAGAGGAGCTAAAGCTTTTCTTCCCCCTTCAGTTTACATGCATCTGTGTGTGGATTTATTTTTAGGGAGAAAGTACTTCTCTATACTTAAAACAGAAACAAAGAAACACTTCCCATGCAGTCAGCCTCAGCGTCCCCATCTTCCTCCTACTTTGGTTCAGATAGGAGCCCATGCCCCCTCCTGCAGCCCTGATGGATGTTATCACTGTCCTTGGGGACAAATATTGTCACAGTGATGGCAGACCTTGTTCTGGCCATCACCCATGAGCTTGCTGATTTCTTAAATGCACTCACACCTTGTGGTGCTATGGCGGACAGTGGGAGAGAAGCCCATCAGACGGGCACACTCAGGGGTTGGAAATTCCTGTTACTTCCTAGCACCAATTCTCTCCCTGCCTGCAGGAGCCTCAGTCTTAGGGGGCATTTCCAGAGAGCTGGCTCTTATCATCCTGAAGGTCAGCTGCACTCACTGTTTCTCTAACCTTTGGCAGGGGTCCTCAAACTTTTTAAACAGGGGGCCAGTTCACTGTCCGTCAGACCATTGAAGGGCTGGACTGCGGGCCCCAGGATGAGTCGGCTGCTACGCAGGACAGGCGGTGGTGGCAAAAACACCCGATGGGCCAGATAAATGTTCTCGGTGGGCTGCATGTGGCCCACGGGCTGTAGTTTGAGGACACCTGCCTTAGAGCCTCCCTCAGACTATACCAGAGAGCCAGGCAGACTCTTCTGCTGGGCTTTCAGAGTTTCAGTTAAAACTCTGAACCTTTTACTCTTCAGGTAAAAGGTTCACCCCTTGGTCCCTTCAGCCCTTTGCCAGACCAGCTAGGCTCAGAGGGGCAGGAGGGAGGACAGGTGAGCAAGCAGCAATGCCAGTAGCCAGCTGTAGGGCCTTCCAGAGTCTCCCATCCACACCTGTGAGTGCAGCAGTCAGACAAAGGCCTCCAGGACACTGAGGTCTGCTATGGGTGAAGATGCTGGCAAGGCCAGCAGAGGGAAGTGCACCTGGGTAGAGAGGTGGGTGGCAGCACTGCCTCCTGCATATCCTGAGTTCTCCTGTGTGTGCATCTGGGCCAAGTTCAGCCAGGTCTGAGGTTTACTCTGGTCTGTGTTTGATCTTGAAGGTTGGAAAGCTGGTTAAAGAAGCTGCCTCTCGGAGCAATCTGAAGAGGGTGACACTGGAGCTTGGGGGAAAGAACCCCTGTATTGTGTGCGCTGATGCCGACTGTGAGTTTCTTCCCCTTCTGGGTTGTGCAGGGCCTCCAGGGCACCCATCAATCTTTCCCCAATTCCTGGCCCCAATTGAGAATCAACTGAGAGGGAGATGCCCACACCCGGGCATGCTCCCACCTTGGGTCATCTGCCTGTGGTCAGCTACCCGCAGACAGGTGATTTTATTACTGACAGAAAGCTTCCTTAGAAAGATGTGGCTTAGGTGGCAGCCAGAGAGACTGCCTGTTCCTGCCCCTAAGAACTAAATTTACCTTCTGGTCCCTGCAGAGTTTCTCCTCCAGGGTTTTCTGGGGGAGGGTGGGGGCTGCCCACCCCCAGGCTGTCATCCTTCGGCCCTCCAGGCCAGTATTGCCTCCCATGCTTTCATGCTCTCTGGAAAGTTGAGATGTTTCTTCCTTGTTTATCTCAGGCCTGTCAAATCAGAGGAGGACAGTGGAAGCTGATCCTTACAAATCCCTTATAGTCTGGTTCTCTGCCTGAACCACCTCTTCCTGGGAAAACAACCTGCCCAGCAGCTGGGAAGCAGCCTGTGTCTTGCTAGAGCTGTATGACACAATATTAAAACACATGCTATTGTTGGCTGCCGTGTACAGAAAGAGGGCAGAAAGAGCCACACTTGGCATTCATTCACCTGCTGACAGGGTCAGCAATCAAAAGGTGTGACTTCCCAAAGACTGTGAAGCACCTTCACCTTAAAGAATAGCCTCCCTCACCTGTCCAGAAATCCCTGTCTTGGAGAATAAAGCCTTCCTTTCCACACTCAGATAAGGTTGGAATTACAAATATCCTGGAGAAAAATGAAGCCAGCACAATTTCTCACTAAGGTATAAATGACTGCTATCAGTTCCTTTCACTGCAGCTGGCTTTCAGTGGGAGACAGCACATGAGAGGAAACAAGCTCCCAGGAAAGCGAGGGGAGTGGGGCCCGGGGTGGGACTGCCCGTTTTTGCCTGGGTTGGTGCTCCCTTGTGGAAGCACCATTAGGGTTGCAAATGGTTTCTGGGGCTATGTGGAGCAGCTCTGGCACTGCAAACCATCTTTGGAATACTAAACTCCAACCCCAAAGAGCTAGGATGCCTGGTTTTTGTTTTCATGCCTGCCATTAAAGCACAGGAGTTTTCCCACAGAGGAAAACTGCAGCTAAAGCACAGGACTCGTTCTGTTTGGGGCTTGGTTTTACTTACAAGAGTCATAAAAACATGCTATGTAGCCATCTTCTACTTTTCATTGGGGCAGTGCCAGTCCACAAAATTACATCCTGACACAAGTGGCAACCCAGGCAGCAGGGGTAACAAGCCACTATTCCCTTGCCCCTTTGGCCGCCACCCTCGGCTCCTATCAGGGTCCAGGAAATGAATCCATTGCCTTGGAGGGGTAGGCAGTTTCTAGTTGGCACCTGAGCTGCCTGACCACAGGAATCAGGGATACAGAGAAAGCCAGGAACCTTATGACACTGTCCTGCTGTCACCCCCCAGTTGAATGGCTCATTCTCAAAGCCAAGGGCAGCGTCTCTCAGAGCTGCTCCCATGGAATTAGAATGGGTCACTTTCCAATGCCCAGAGCCCTGAGGGAGGGCCATGGAGGGCCTAACCAGCAGGGCCATGGAGGGCCTAACCAGCAGGGCCCTGCGTTTTGCTCTGTGCACAGGAAACTGCATTTCTTAAGTGCTAGAGTGGGGGTGGGGGCTGCTGCAAAACCAGCCATAAATGCCCCTTCCTATTCTTACCCATTAAGCATATCCCAAAGATCTTACTTTCTAAGCATCCTCTAGCTCCATGTTAGTAGCTGGTTTTAATTCAGTGTTAGCTCTACAATTCAGATTCAGCCCTCCCCAGGCAGAATCAGTGCATTTTCTTTAAAAAACAAAGAAAAAAAAACCTTTTAATTCATACATAGTATTGCTACCTTACATGACAAGGCACTTCTTTTACTCAAGTTGGAAAATTATGGTTCCTTTAAAAGTTCTTGACAATTGTCCTCCATCAATACTTACCAAAGTTTATTCTGTATTAACATTAGTGCCCCAGAAAAAGGGAAGGGGCAGGTTTGATGGGCAAGTGACATGGGGAGTGCTGTAATTTTGTTTCCTTAGCATATTGAAGGTCCTGAAAAGTCCTGCAGCCAGGAAGCAGATCTACCCCCAAACTTGGTGGACCTGAAAATCCTTTTTCTCTGTCTCTCCATTTGGAAAATGCTGAGGACAAAATTAATTTCCAAAATGCAGCCATCCTGGGGCCTGTTTTCTGTGTGTGTGCGCGTGTGTGTGTGTGTGCGCGCGCGCGCAGTTAGAGCTGCAGCTGTTGCCAATCCTGCTCTAACAACTTAATCGCTTCCTCTCACTCCCGCCCGCCACCCCTCCCCCTCCAGTGGACTTGGCAGTGGAGTGTGCCCATCAGGGAGTGTTCTTCAACCAAGGCCAGTGCTGCACGGCTGCCTCCAGGGTGTTCGTGGAGGAGCAGGTCTATACAGAGTTTGTCAGGCGGAGTGTGGAGTACGCCAAGAAAAGGCCCGTGGGAGACCCCTTTGATGTCAGGACTGAGCAGGGGCCCCAGGTAACCTACTCATGTGTCTGCACCCATGTGCTGGTCTGGCGGCTGAACTAGGCAGTCCTGCAGCCCTGTGCAGATTCTCTCTCAAAGGAAGGCACACTGACCTGCCTTGCTGCTTAAGGATTTTGTTCAGAAGCTGATCAATAGTACAGACTCATCAGGTCCCCATGGGTGACTGAAATAGAGCTGCACACACAGAGATGTGGGGGGTTGGAGCCATTCCCATGACTGAAGGCCATCTGCTCGCACCCTCCAGCCCTCCCAGAGTGCCATCCTTGTTCTGTGCCACCTGGCCCCCGGGAGAGAGCATTGGGCAGAAAAATCTCATATGGATGGTCCAAGTGCAGAAAAGGGGCTATAACCCTGGCAGGAGGCAACAGAGTGCAGGCAGGGCCAGGGCCTGCACATGTGTAACATGTCAAGGTGAACCATCTGAAATCACAGAGTCCCAGAAGGGGAAGACTCAGGTGATGGAGATGAGCCTCCAGGAAGTAGGAACACATCTCTGGAGGCCTGGTATGGAAAGGCATGAAAGAACAGGATGAAAATGATCATAACCACAAGGTTTAATATCCTCTTTAAAAGGGCACATCCTGTATCACTTTCTTGCTAATTGTGAAGTGAAACAGATGGATAAACATTAAAAGAGGGCAGCCTGACCATCCCATGCATTATTGAAATGGACTCGACAGCAACCCACTTTGCTTTTAGCCAAAGCCCTGCCATAGCCATGAAATTTTGAGTCGTGTGAAGTTGTGACTTACCCACTGGTGTCTATCCAAGGAACTCGCTGCCTCCCCACTCCGTCAGCACTGCATGTACACGGGAGGCCCCAGATCTGAGCTCCAGTTTGGCTCTATGGCTTGCAAAAAATCACAAAAATCCTTCCATACTTCAGTTTCCTCATCTGGAAAATGGGAGTCATAGATGAATATTATGATAATTTCTTGGCACCTAGGGGGAGGTCTTAGTAAAAAGTAGGTTTTGTTTTTAAAAGGGAAGAGCCTTCAATGACAGGCTTTCTGATCTTGGTGACAGTAGTGAGACTTCAGGCCACGTTGATCAGTTTTGTTTAATTTCGTGTAGGGGAACTCTGGATGGGGATGAGGGGTGTACTTCTAGCTACAGCACCTACCCCACTTGCCCCAGCCCATGTGCTCTGATACCACATGACATACTTCTGCTTATGTCCAACATCCCTAGCCATGGCCTGCCCGGCCTCAGCCCCAAACCCAGTGGCCAGTGACGCAAGGTTGATGGGCTTGGTTGGATTTCAGATCTGCACACAAACATGACCACAAGTCATTATCAAATCCTCCATGATTTTAAAGCTCATCCAGAAGCAGTGGGAAACATGTGAGCTGATCTCCACACCAAGGAAGCCTTTTTACCCCATCATTATTTGTAAGTCTCTTTCCAAGTCCTGCAGTCCTGACTTTTGAAGCCAGATACACATATCTTTTCCAAGAGAGCAGTCTGAGGCTGAAGGGGTGTTGATTTCATCTGTGCCTGTGCTGCTGCTTGGAGTCCTTTTGAAAGCTCACTAAGCCATCCAAACTTTGCATATTATTTTAGGACACTGTGGAGTTTTGTTTTTTTTTTTTCTCCCAAAGTGCTTTTTCATCTACGGTAATAAGATTTTACTTGGAGAGGACTTACAGCTGTCCAAATAGTACTGTCTGTCTCATGCCTGTAAAACAGCTAGTGACCTAGATCCGTGTCCACTGCAGGCAAGCCGCTCCCTGGAATGCTCCAGAATCATTCAGGTTTATTTGGCAACTGAGCAATGAGGCACATAAACATTATGCAGGCCACCTGGCTGGGGCAGGATCCGGCAGCGTCCTCCTAGCCGAGAGCTGAGCGCAACCCTGGGCCAGTCCTTTGGGGGCCATATTTCCTTGTTTCTGGTGGTGTGCCCTACTGCGTCATCTCACTTCCTGGCAGGTCCTTCTTCCTGTACTGTAAGGCACCAGCTGACATTGCATAGAGGATTATTAGATTTAAACAATGTGTTCATACAGACTCACTGGAGGAGTGTTGAGTTTGGATGAATGGGGTTTCCATGGGGACCCGGCACTGCCTATAGGACAGATGGAGTCTTCCAGGCAGAACATGGCCAGCAGCCAGTCAAGACCTGTATTTTGATGAAACTCTTTTGGCCCTCTTGACCCCCAAGGTGTAGGATAGAGGCTCAGTCAGACCTGGAACTTTAAAATTTTTTTTTCCCTGAGACAGGGTCTTGCTCTGTCACCCAGGTTAGAGTGTAATGGCGTCATGATAGCTCCCTGCAACCTCAAACTCCTGGGCTCAAGTGATCTTCTTGCCTCAGCTCCCTGAATAGCTGGGATTACAGGCATGTACCACCATGCCCACCTATATTTTCTATTTTTTATAAAGATGGGGTCTTGCTGTGTTGTTCAGGCTGGCCTCATACTCCTGGACTCAAGCAATTCTCCCTCCCACCTCAGCTTTGGCCTCCCAGAGTGCTGAGTTTACAGGCATAAGCCACTGTATCCAACCAAACACCTGAACTTTTAACCTTAGACTTGGTTTACCTAGAGAAAAGTTGAGAGACCCTTGAGCTATTACTGGATCCATTGCAATTGTTTTCATTCCTTTCTTGGTGTGGGAGGACATACACATGGGTCAAAACCCAAAGCACATGAAAAAGTCTATGGTGAAAGGGTTCCCTCCCACCCATTCATATACCTGGTTCTTACCCTTCCTCCCTTGGGTATCCCATGTTCTTAGTTTGTTATACACACCTCCAGGATTTCTTTATGTGTATGCTAGCAAATATGATTATGTTGTCTGATTCCTTCCATTATTTTTTACACAAAAGTTGATGTGTTTTTACTGTTTTGCACTACCTTGTTTATTGGTTGTTAACAAGAAACTTGAAGAGCTTTGTATTCCAGTGCTTGGGGACATCATTCTGTTTCATATGTACGTAGAATTCTGCTGCATGAAGACATGAGAATTTAAATAACATCTGATTAACATAGGCATTTGCAATCACACACAAGCTCATAGAGTATGTCATTACACACATACACAAGGAAATCCCTGGACCAGACTCCCCAAAGTGAGGTTGCTAAATGGGAACACCATTATAATTTCTATAAGCATTACTGAATTACCGTCCATAAAGGATGATCCAACTTACATTCTTACCAGCATATTATAAGCTTGTCTGTGTCTCAGCCTCACCAACAAAATATGAATTTTTGCCTATCTGAGAGTTTAAAGTAATATCTCTTTTAGTTTTTTTTGTTTTTTTTTTTTTGAAATGGAGTCTCAAGCTGTTGCCCTGGGTAGAGTGCCGTGGCATCATAGCTCATAGCAACCTCCAACTCTTGGGCTCAAGCAATCCTTTTGCATCACTTTTTCTATTTTTAGTAGAGACAGGATCTCACTTTTGCTTAGCAAAAACTTGTGAGCTCAAGCAATCCGTTTGCCTCGGCCTCCCAGAGTGCTAGGATTACAGGTGTAAGCCACTGTGCTGGGCCCTCTCTTTTAGTTTTAATGTATGTGTATATCTTTTATAATGAGGGTAGAAGATCTTATACTATCTTAAGAACACTTTTATATTTCCTTTCTTGTCAAATGTGCATTTGCTTTGCCTGTTTTCATTTTGTGTTGTTGGTCATTTTTCTCATTACTTCTAAGGCCTCTTTATATACATTGTAGGGAGATTAGCTTTCTATGAATAATTTTCTCCAATTTGTCTTCCCTCCCCCCTTTTGACTTCACTTATGATGATTTTGCCCTTATGATGATTTTGTTTTACATACTCAAATCTGTCAGTCTTTTCTTTTTTTGACTTTTGCATTTCAAGCCCTAGAAAGGCCAGCAATAGTGCAGGGGCAATCTTGCATGTGAGAGAACTTTTAAACTTTCATGGTTTTACTTTTCATGGTGGTATCTTCGATTAGGAGTTTATCCTGGTATAATGTGTGAGGTGTGAGGTATGGATCCAAGTCAGTATTTTAATACTGGATCCATATTTCATGAGTTGGTTGGCCAACTAATATGCACAGCAACCCCTTCTGAGACAGCCTGCATGGTCCTCAGGGACAGATGATCAGCTACACGGCACCATTGGGGTTGCTTATTCATCTCTTTAAGGCTATTAGAATGAAACTAGATTTTCTATGCACAAGTCTCGATTACAGTAGAAAGTCTGTCTTTCCTAACCACAGAGGAAGAGGATTGTCAACAGGTCATGGAAGAGAACAGGCTCTCTTGGATTTCAGGAAGAAGGGTCAGTGGAGGGCAGGCAGGAGGAGCATGCTTCCCTTGAGTCGTCTCCCAAAGGGTGCCCTTTTGGCAACTGGCTGGTGCCATGTCCACAAACCAGGCGTTAGGCTGGTTTGACTCTGTTTGCCAGAGACTCTTGGACAATGTAGCAAAAAGTAGAGCCTTTCTTTTTCTTTCTTTTTCTTTTTTTTTTTTGGCCGGGGCTGGCTTTGAACTTGCCATCTCCGGCATATGGGGCCAGTGCCTTACTCCTCTGAGCCACAGGCGCTGTTCTGGTGGAGCCTTTCTGATGAGCTGGTTCCCCACCCACCAAGGAGCAGCCCCACCTTGAGGCTCACTCACTCCACTCTTGTTTCCAGAGTGCAGAGCAGGGAGGCTAGCTTTTCTGCTCACTTTACAGCACGAAGGGAGCACACCAGTTACTATTATCCTGATCCTTGGTGCCAAGTGAGCAAGGTGCAGTTTGCCAGGTAACTCATGGTACCCCCATTAGATTTGAATTTCAGATAAACAATGAATGCAATTTTAGCAGAAGTATATCCCAGATACTGCTTGAGACATGCTTATAATTCTAAAAAATCATATGTTGTTTTTCTGAAATGCAAATTTCACTTAGCATTTTATATTTCTGTTTGCTAAATCTGTCAACCTAGCCCAGGCAAGAGGATCACTTGAAGCCAGGAGTTTGAGACCAGTCTGAGCAACATAGCAAGACAGGATTTTTTTAGAAACAAACAAATAGGGCTGTTATGGTGGCTTACACCTGGAATCCTACCACTCTGAGAGGCTGAGGTAGGAGGATCCCTTGAACTCAGGAGCTCAGTACCAGCCTAAGGAATGGCAAGACTCTATTTCTACTAAAAATAGAAAAATGAGTTGGGCGTTGTGAAGGGCACCTATATAGGCTTAGCTACTCTCAAGGCTGAGGTAAGAGGATTGCTTGAGCTCAAGAGTTTGAAGTTGCTATGAGCCATGATGTCATGGCACCCTAGCCTGGGTGACAGAGTAAGACTCTGTCTCAAAGTGAACTAATAAACAAACAAACAGAAATCTTACAACCTGAGTAGGATGTAAAGAGTTGGCAGAGCAAGAATATGCCCACTTCAGACCTTGTATTACTTGTGGACTCTTTATAGCACGGAGAGGTGTCTCAGACATGTGAATAAACCCCAGACCTTGAGAGAGACCCTTCTTCTCAAGATCCTAGATTTGTGCACGAGAGCAATATTTAAACAAGCCATATTTGTTACGTGGATTATGAGTTGGCAAGAACGTGTAAGGGGAGGGTAGCTGATGCTGTTAAAAGCCACTGAAACGTAAGATGGCAGCCCCTGGCTGGAGGAACCCCAGCTGTACTTCCCTTTTGTGTTTTGCAGATTGATCAAAAGCAGTTCGACAAAATCCTCGAGCTGATCGAGAGTGGGAAGAATGAAGGGGCCAAGCTGGAATGTGGGGGCTCCACCCTGGGAGACAGGGGCTTCTTCATCACACCCACTGTCTTCTCAGAAGTTACAGACAACATGCGGATTGCCAAAGAGGAGGTATATGGGGCCTGGGGCTTTTCACATGGGGCCTCTTCTCTAGGGCTCAGGGATTGCAGAGGTGCTTGTGAGGTGAATGTTTTTCTTTTCTTGTGGTCTTTCCTCTTCTCCTTTGGGGTCTTTAGGGAAGACGTCTTGCACTCCTGCCACTGGTGAGGCCTGGGGACTGAACAGCAGGTGTGGGGGTTAGCTCCAGCCCTGCATTTGCACTCAGCCCTGTGGTCTCTGGGGAGTACCGGCCCTCTTCATTCTTCTGCAATCTGCAAATTAGTCCTGCAGCCTAGGCTGGACAGCTGTCGCCACCTGTGGGTTTTGTCAGGAAGTGATTCAGGGCCCCAGACTGCCCAAGAGTGAATTTCCATGCAAAGTGTTCATTCAAAGAACGTGTCACGGCTAGAATTCCCCATTGAAGTTTTTCCATCACAGACATCCTTGGAGATGATGGAGATCAGGAGACTCTCATAAAAGTGGAAATCTAACTTTGTCTTTCCAGGCCACTGTTTAGCTAGATGGGAGCTGGTTCCCCCTAGCCCTCAGGATTTATGAAAGAAGAACCTCGTGCCAGGGGAAGAGGGAGTTAGAATCTGCCTGGGGTGTGGTCTTTGGGGGCACATGAGAGAATGAATCACTGCAGAGGGCTTTCTCATGCCGATATTTTATAGACTTTCTCCTTGAGATTTTTATGGGTTAATGACTGTGCTGTGACAGCATGGAGCTCAGCTCTTTAGAAACCCCTGTGATGAGAGGTCTTGAGGAAACTGGGGAGATATTTTGACAGCCTGGATGCCATCCTGCTAGGTGTTATAATTGTGTCCAATATTGAATCAATTACAAGCTCCCTTGAAAATCACCTATAAATGTTCAAACATTTAGTGTTTCCACATCCTTTTCTTTCCTGTTTTGCAGACTCTGGGTGAACATTGTCTCATTCCCTCCCCTGGTGGTTATTGTGGAAACATTTTAGGGTGTCTTTATTGGCAGAAAACATAGCACCAAGATGTCAGGGCACATAATCCTATAACACACCTGTAGATATCTTTAGAGACTGGGTGGGATGGCTCATGCCTGTAATCCTAACACTCTGCGAGGCTGAGGTGGGTGAATCTCTTGAGCTCACAAGTTCGAGACCAGCCTGAGCAAGAGCAAGACCCTGTCTTACCAAAAAAAAAAAAAAAAAAAAAAAAATAGCTGCAAATTGTGGCAGGCACCTGTTGTCCCAATTACTCAGGAGGATGAGGCAAGAAAATCTCCTGAGCCCAAGAGTTTGTGATAGCTATGAGCTATGATGCCATGGCACTCTACCCAAGGTGAGTTCCCCCCCCCCCAAAAAAAATCTTTAAAGATAACTTTCCAAAAAGTCACACAAAGGTTTTATCTTCTGTGCATCCAACATGCATAGGCTACCACTCCAAGGCTCTTGCGCTTGGGGTTCTCAGAAGCCCTGATGACAATGAGAGATCGTAAAACACAACGTGTATTTTTATTATTATTTTTATTTCATTTTAATCCTTGCCTTCAGACTTCAACTGCTATGCAGCTATAAATATCTTTGGATGTTCTTTCTCCTCCCATCATCATTTTTCATGCATGTGTGCATTCTGAGTATATGAAAAGGTATAAAAAGAAGGAAATGCCTTTTCAGAGTATAAATTTCCATTTGAACATGCCTCTCACTGCCATTCTTGCAATTAATTATAGATTTTTGGACCAGTGCAAACAATACTAAAGTTCAAAAATATGGAAGAAGTGATAAAAAGAGCAAACAGCACTGACTATGGACTCACAGCAGCTGTGTTCACACAAAACCTCGACAAAGCCCTGAAATTGGCTTCTGCGTTAGAATCTGGAACGGTCTGGTAAGTTGAGTGTGTGTGCGTTTCCGCTCTTATGAGTCACTCGCTTGCTGGCTGTGTTACTCTGCTATTAACAGAGAACGTCTAGTTATATATTATGTGCCAAGCACGGTCAAAGCACTTTGCTCCATCCTCATGACCACTTTCTGAGGTAGGTATCATCATGTCTCCATTTTATAGATGAGGACATTGAGGCTCAGAGAGACCGAGTTAACTTGCCCAGGATCACACAGCTAGCAGATGGCAGAGCAGACTGTGCCCATGCCTTTGGCCCCCACGCTGTACCACCCCTCTGCCTTTATTTCCAATTCTGATGCTAAAAGCAGTCCCTGCTTCACCAATAATTCTGCAGACTATGTATTGTTATCCCCATTGTAAAGATGAATGAGTTGAGGCTCAGAGAGGTTGAATAATAAGCCCAGAATCATATGACTAGGAAGCAGGAGAACTTTGGGGGGCAGATCTGTCTTGTTTCAAAACTAATTCTTCTAATTCCTTGATGCCATAAATTTCTGTTTTCTGCCCTTCTCATTCTATTCCTATCCCAATGAGAAGTTCTGTACGTAAGTATATTCAAGTTTTATGATGGGAAGAATGTGGAGGCAGGAGGTGAGAGCAAACTGTGTTTGAGTCACTGAAACTTTGGCAAAAGGCCACCCTGTGGGCAGAGCTCTGCGTCGAATGCCCAGCAGCTCAATGCTGAGACCCAGTGGGTCTTCCCCAGGTCATGTGAATATCCTTGTATTCTTTTTCTAGGATCAACTGCTACAATGCCATCTATGCACAGGCTCCATTCGGTGGCTTTAAAATGTCGGGAAATGGCAGAGAACTGTAAGTGTCTCCACTGTGGGTTGAATACAAGATCCATCAGATTTTCAGGCAGTGACTTGGGCTCCAGCCTGCTTGAAGCCCCTCTGCTTTGTGTGGGTCAGCCATGTTCCTTTGGGGCCAGTCAGGATCTGTCCCTTCCCCTCCTTTCACACTCCACCACTCCTGCCCTCCACCTCAGCTTGCCCTTCTCCAAGCCTCAGCTTCGGTGTTCTGCCAGCACCTATCGTGATACGGATGTGATAGAGGTGGCCTGGATGGGGACTTAGGCAGAACTAACAAAGTGCACTTTGTGCCAGATACAGGATGTCATTACTCACACAAACGCCCCCCATCCTAAGCAGGGAAGATAGGCTTCCACGGAGGTCCAGCTCCAGACCTGCCTGGTAGGACCCCCAGGGGACACTGTAGGTGACTCTGGTTCTTCCTTGGTACTCCTTTGGAAGGTGTATGGCAGCCCCCCCTGCAGGGTTTCAGTGGCCCATCAGCGTGTACAGACCCACTGCAGACCCCTCCACATTTCCTTTCTATCTGGTCTGCTGGAAAAATGAGCTTCATAGGTTTAGGTTAATGGATAGGCCTTCTGGCATCTGGCCCAGGCCCAGAGCCTGAAGGAGTCCTGGGGGTGGAGCCACTGTGGCTTCCAGCCGAATACTGTCTTGTCTCTCCATGTCTTTCTCAATGCTGCTCAGAGTTTTATTAGCCTTTGTGGACATTTTTAAGATCAATGTTTCTGAGGAACCATCTGTGACAATACCCCAGGGCTGTTCCTGGGACATCTCTAAAGGGCTCAAGCTCTTCCTTTGATTTAAACAGTTTGTGTTATTTATACACAGATGCCTTACCTTGTGTTTGTTTGCTCGTCTTCCAGCGGGAACAGACTCAAATATCTCCCCTCAGCTGGGCCTTGGTGGGGCCTTTGCATGGCTTCCCTTCAAGATGTGATGAAGGACAGGTGCTGGTTTCCATCCCTCCCTGCACACGCACTCCTGGCCAGTCTGTGTGAAATCGGGGTCGCCGCCTGCATACACCAGTCCTGCTTTCTGGTGCCATCCTTCACTCATGGCAAATGCCCCAAAGCCATCTGAATATCTGAGTGCAGTGTGTCCACTGGCCTCACCTTATTCCTATAACTGATTTCCCCTTCAGGGCCCATTCATAAATTTTTGTCCTTGAAGACCCTCTGCAGAAACTGCATTTCCTCCCCTAGAGGCTCTTTTGTATTTGAGTTCTGTGAGCTTCTGTCTCTTTAACCTCTTCTACCTGGCTGACATCTGGGCATGGGAGGCTGGGGCTGGGGTCACCAGGGTCCCCTCCAGGGCCCTCCAGCAACAGCAGTGCTGGCGACTGCTAGCATTCGCTGAGCACAATCTCTGGGACAAGTTCTGTACCTTTTGACCCATGTCATCCTCACAACCATCTGCACAATGGGTACAGCTGTTTTCAGTTTGAGGAAGCAGCCCAGGGAGCTAGTAAGTGACAGAATTGGGATGAACACTGACAGCTTGGGCCTTGGACCCAGCCCAGTGCAGGGCCTCACTTGGTCAGCACCTGGCATGAAGCCAACCAGAGCTTGCGTGGTCAGTTGTTTCATTTGATCTGCTGCCTTCAACCAGATGGGCCATCAGGGCTGGGGAACCCAGAGGTCAGCCATGCCTTGGCAGCAAGAACTGCCATCCCCAAATCAAATGTCCTTGGATGTAGGGCCTACCTGATCCCTGGTGTGTGCTGACTTGCCCTGTGATTTGACCTCACCTTGACCTTCCTACCACCCTAACAGGGCCTTTAGCTCCTTAGTACTCTTTTACATGACGCAGGGCAGGGCTTGGTGAGTATTCACTGAACACATCCTGCCAGTTAGCCACAATCGGGACTTTTTTGAATGTCTGTTTTTTGGTCCTTTGGCATATGTTTTCTTAAGGCCTTTGATAAATTATTTAAACATAATTCACAAGGAGCCTGGAAACTGCCTTGCAAACCAATTTCTAATCTCAGTTGCCTCTAATTGATGTCTTCATCTTGCAAGAAGTTCCCCTTTTTTAAAACTGGAGCCCCAAGCGGTGGATTCCGTGGTTTTCCCCATCCCTGGCCACCCACCCACGTACCCCTCCAGGATCTGTTTCTGCACAGGTCTTGGCATGGAGCCTGCAATTTCTCTTCCTCCTGGGTGTTTTTCTCCTTGGTTTTTATTTTGCTTTTTAATAAAAGTGATGCAGGTGGCACCCGTAGCTCAGTGGGTAGGATGCTGGCCACATACACCAAGGCTGGCAGATTCGAACCCAGCCTGGGCCAGCTAAAATCAACAATGACAATTGCAACAAAAAAATAGCTGGGTATTATGGAGAGGCTGAGGCAAGAGAATCACTTAAGTTCAAGAGTTTGAGGTTGCTGTGAGATGTGACACCACAGTACTCTACCAAGGGTGAGATAGTGAGACTCTATTTCTAAAAAAAAAAAAAGTGATGCAATAACCAAAAAATCTACACAGTAGAGACATTTGGTAAGTCAAGGCCTCCTTTCCCTAACCCTCAAACCCATTCACTAGAGATAAACATTGTTCAGTCATTAATTTTGCTCATTTATTCATTTATTCACTTGGCAAATATTTTTTGATCATCTTTGATGCACCCAGCATGACACTAGGGACTGAGCATATGGCAGTGAACATGATCACAATCCCTGCCTGCCACTGACTTCTGATGAGGTTTAATGGGAGAAAGGATGGGTTCATGGATGGCCGTGCCTACCAATTTGGAAGAGACTAGAAAAGAAATGTTAGGAGATTCCACGTTGGGTTGGATAAGAGCAGCAGGAACGTGAACAAGCGCAGCAGCAGCAGACATCAAAATCCTTATTAAGTTGATAAATTATTATCAACTTTAAATCTTTACAATGCAATTCCATGTGCTCACTTTTAAAGTATATTATGCATTTTTTTTTTACATACAATGGATGTAAATGTGTGTGTTCTTTTCTGTTTTCAAATGAAATGGGGGCACGCTACTTTTTCCTTCTTGAGAAGGGATCTTGGATAGCCTTCCATTCTTTTCATCCTGTGAAGGTCTCCTGTGAAGGACTTTTGTGTTATTTTTTCAGGGATTTTGCTATTACAAACCATGCTAATGTATTTTCTTGTGTACATACAGGGCATCAATAAAGTTTGTGTGCAATTTAAAATGCAGACTATTTTGAATTGCACACAGACTTTATGCACACTCTGTGTGTATGTACATATACATATTTATGAATCTGTTGAAGATTGTTTTCTGAAATCCTAAAATTGAATAATCTGTTACATGAAAAATGAGCTTAACACTGTTTTGGTTTGCATTTCTTTAACCATGAGGGAGTGGCATACCTTTTTTACACTAATTGGTAATTTGTATTTTTTTTTCCTGCAAACTATCTATGTCCTTTGTTGATTTTTACATTTAATGGTATACATTTTTCTTGTCAGAGCTTTTTGTATATTAGGGGAAACAGCATTCTTGTTTCTCACACAGGGTTGTAAATTTTTTTTTTTTTTTAGTTTGTCATTTGTCTTTTTGGGTTTTTGAATGGAGTTTTTGCTCTATAAAAGGTGAATCTAGTATTTTGTTTATGGCTTTTAAATTTTATGTTATGTTTAGAAAAGATTACAAAATAATTCACTCACTATTAAGCATTCTTAAACTATTTGTTTTAGGAAACTACCTAAAAATCCCAAAGAAACATTATTGGTAAGATAACAGTATTACTTTCTACCATTCATTTTTGACCTAGCTCATCATAGGTGCTAAGTATGAATAATCTCTACTTGCTATGACTACCAGGTGGTAATGATATTCCCATTTTACAGATAATGAAACTCAGGGAAGGCAATGAATTTGCATAAACTACATAATTCTAAGCCCATGGTTCTCCAACTTAAGCACGCATCAGAATCACCTGGGGAGAGGGTTGTTAAAATATAGGCTTCTGGGTTCCACCTCTGGAGTTTCTGATTCAGTAAGTTTGTTAGTTTTCTATTACTGCTACAACAAATTACCACAATGTTAGTGGCTTAAGTAACATAACTTCATTATCTTATAGTTCTGTAGGATAAAAATCTGATGCAGGTCTCATTGAGCTAAAATTATGGTATCAGCAAGGCAACATTCCTTGCTCTTTCCAGCTTCAAAAAGCTGTCCTCGTTCCTTGGCTGGTACTGCCTTTTCTCCATCTTCAAAGCCAATACTCTCTCTGAATCTGCTTCTGTGATCTCATTTCCCTCTGACTCTCTTCTGCCTTCTTCCTCCACTTTTAAAGATCCTGTGATTACAATGGGCCTTAACGGATGATCCAGGCTGATCTCTCCCTTTTAAGGCCAAGTGATTAGTAACTTGAATTCCATCTGCAACATGAATTCTTCTTTGCTGTGAGGCTGGGCACAGTGTAATCCTCGCTCTGGGAGGCTGAGGCAGGTGGATTGCTTGAGCTCCGGAGTTTGAGACCAGCTAGAGCAAGAGTGAGACCCTATCTCTACTAAAAACAAAAATTAGCTGGATGTCATGTTGAGTGCCTGTAGTCTCAGCTACTTTAGAGGCTGACGCAAGAGGATCTTGAGAGCAGGAGTTTGAGGTTGCTGTAGTTATGATGCCACGGCACTCTAGCCTTGGCAATAGAGTGAGACTCTGTCTAAAGAAAAAAAAAAGATTCTTCTTTGCTGTGGAAACTAACATAGTCACAGGTTCTGGGATTAGGATGCCAATGCCTTTGGGGAAGCACTTACTCTGTCTACCACAAGAGGTCTAAAAACCATCATCTCTAGCAGATGGGGAGGTGAGGCTGCTGCTGCTGGTCTGAGGGAGGAGATGGGACTCTGTCTCAGGTGTTCTAGCTGCAGAGCCTCCAGTGGCCACCTCTATTTCCATCTCCTTTTCCTAAACAAGCACACATTTTTCTTTATTTCACAGCAGATCAAAGACTACAGAGGGATTTAACTCTATTCAAAGTGTCCTCTCCCTTCTGGGAAGGAAAGCTATACTGAGGCTGGCCCATGCTTCCAGAAAAGAGTCACTTGGGCTCTGCAAAACTTAAAGAAATGAGATATACCAAAGATGCTAATGCAAAAACGTGGTCTCCCTATGTCCAGTGCGTGCTAATGTCTGTTCCCCACCCCTTCAGCGTGGCCTTGCTCTCTGACAGCAGGTGCTCAGCTGTGTGCTCTGAGGCCAAGTACAGGTCCTCAGTGTTCTTGCCTCTCATCTTCTGGCTTCATCTCCAGTTCACAGCCTTGGGCCTCTGCCCCTGCTATCTCTCCAAGTGGCTCCAAATTGCCACCTAAATGCTATAAATCCAGAGTAATCTCTGTGCCTGCTCTCCTGCCTCCTTCATCCTCCTAGGGCATCTCTTTTAGCCCTCTACTCCCAACCCAGGGGACCTACCTGTTTAATTTCAAAACCCCTTCTTTCTTCAAAGGCATCACACACAAAAAAACTTGATATTTACACTGAAGTCACACGTCCAGTTGCTGACACTGGTTAATGGTCTTTGCTATCATTCTGTCAAGTTGGTCACATTTTGACCTGTTGCATATTCTGCCCAACAGAATAGCCTAGCAATGGAACACAGTTTCCACAAAATGGCTAAATGACATGCCCATTTTTAATTTTCCTCTTTTCTGTGATCACAGAGGTGAATATGCTTTGGCCGAATACACAGAAGTGAAAACCGTCACCATCAAACTTGGTGACAAGAACCCCTGAAGGAAAAAAGGCTCCTTCCTCAAACATGGATAGCTGACTGTGGCAGAGCCAACCTGCCGAAGAAAAAATTACATTTCTGACCTTGGGATGCTTTCTTCTGGAGGCTTTAAATCTACTGCAGTTGAATGACTTTTTTGTTTCCTTCTTAAGCTCATGTTTATTGATCAAACTATGGATGCCCATATGCTGTGTGCAAAATTGCAGTCCTGCCTGGGAAGGGAGCAGTTGGTCATTTCCTGTTTTCCCTTTAGACCAAGTCCAGGAGACAGTGAAGATACTCAGGGGTTTGTTAACAGGAAGTGGTATTTGAAGTGTCCTGCAGTTGCTTAAAAATGCTTTGCTGAATCTGATTCCAGTAAGAATGTGGAAAAAGAACTGTGTGTGTTCTGCGAGCAGGCTCTGTACCTGTGATCTCCTCAGGGTTACCTGCTCATAGAACAGTCCCTTCCTCTTTCTGAGGTAGAGGTCAGATCAGTCAGTGGGAAATACAGCCCTGTCTTTTTAAAGTTAAAATTTTTTTTTTAATATTAAAAAAAAAAAGGATTTCACAGTGATTAGCTTATGGGAAGTGAGTTCTGGGGAAGGGTGCCGGAGGCCATTGGTGTGGGTCTTTGAGGACTATAATTTGACACTGACACGTGATTCAGCTTAAAACCAATGCTGCCTTTGGAATATAACTGAATCAACACTCCAAAGAGCTTGCTCAAAAACTGTATCACCTTAACGAAGGCATTTTTCTTAGGCAGAGAACATGATTAGCATGACCTTTGCTGCTAAGGATCCAATCTTCTAACACTACAACAGCTCAGCAAACCTTAGGATAATGAAGTTCCACATTTGACAAATCAGAGCAATAATTCACTTTTGCAAATTATGCATTTCAACCATATTCACTAATGGTTTAGGACAAGCCTATGTAGTTTTCCTTTTCTCCAATTCTGTAATACAGTTTAGGGTAGTCAAACACACACAACTGGAAAGACTGCTGTTATAATACAGCCCTGTCTTTTTAAAGTCCTATTTTGATATTAATTTCTGATTAGTCAATTAATAACACCTGTATTCCATGGAGGCCCTGGATCTTATCCAAGTGACCTATTTTACTAACAGATTATGATTTTTTTTTTCCTCTTTGGGTATCCAAATGCCAGGGAATTTCATGTTTTAATGTTGGAAACTGAAAGTTTTCCCAGATAGCTTTAAAAACAAAACACATTTAAATCATGTTATTTGGATACTTTTACTGTTGCTGACTAGTACTTTTCTAACTGGGAAGATAGTGCTTCTGCTTGAGAATTAATTGAGAGAGAGAAATAATGAAATGAAGTTCTATGTCAGAACCAGTGTGTAAAATGGGGTTATCATCTCTGACTGAGATAAGCAATACCAAATTCACCTTCTTCTCTCCCTCAGTTAACATCCATCACTTACACTTCCAATACCTTGTTAAATCAGGATTTGACTTCATACACTGAATTTTCAGTATTTTATCTCAAGTAATATAGACACTAACCTTGATAGTAATACATTAGAGGGTTCCTATTCTTTCATTGTACAATAATGCCTTTAATATGAAATGCTACATTATTTATAATTGGTATAGTTATTGTATCTTTTATAGTTGTAAGTACACAGAGGTGATATATTTAACCTTCTGTAATATACTGTATTTAGAAATTGAAATCTATATAATGTTAGATTTCACTTCTTTTAAGGTTGATTCCTGTGTTATGGTTTAAAAATCAGCTTGGGAATTCTAACTGAAGAATTCTAACTGATCCTAACTGAAGAATGTGTTCCACAGTGCAACAATAAAAAAAATAGATGTTTGAGAAACATTGTTTTTTCTTTTTAATTTAAGGACAGATATTTTAATTCTGTGGTAGGCCTTTCTCCTTCTGAGACCTGTACAAAATGGCTTTTAATAAAGCAGGATCTATGATTTAAGAATAAAATTGCATTTGCTCAATTGATCAGGCCCAATGCTTTGCCTGAGTGTGAGACCCTTATCTGTGGGGTTGGAGGTTGACTGGGTCAAGAGCTGGGACTCAGAGGTTCTGTTATCTTAGTTGGCTAAGTTTAAGCTGTCATCTAAGCTGCCTGAGTCTCATTTATCATACAGAGATGAGGATGTAAGTACAGAAATCGGTGGAGAGGACTACAGGAGGATTCAAGGAAAGCACTGTGTCCCCCTCACTTATGTGAGCATAAGTGTCTGTTTTTGTCATTTTTCTCAATGAGGATTTAGAACCGTGATGTTCAATGCATGTGCTGAAGCACACTGGTGTGCCATGAGAGGATCTTAGGTATGCGAAGAAAAATTTTAAAGATCATTAAATTATTTTCAAAAGAAGTTCAAAGCACAGTTATAAGTACATTCTTTTTTTTACTTTTTTTTATCAACATAATTTAAGTGTGCTGTGGAAGCTTTAGGTTCAGGTGTGCCATGAGATAAAACAGATTGAAAGGCACTGTTCTAGAAGGATCTGTTTGGGTTTAACTGATCTAAGTTTTCTTTTTTCCTTTTTTTTTTTTTTTTAATTTTGAGTGAATTTTAATGTCCCGGAGCTTTGTTTCTTCATGTATAATAAATAGTGCAGTCAATAAAAATGAAAATGAGGTAATATGGTGAAACAGGTAATAACCTAGTAAGAGCACAATAAAGGATGACTATTATTTTAGCAAGAATTCAACTGAAACTTTAATGGGCAATACCAATAGCAATATGTATATTTACAATATGGTTTAAAAAATTGTTCATTGCTTTCCCCTCATCTACCCAGTAGAAATTAACATTAGCCTGTTAGGCTGTCTGATAAGACCAGTGAGTGTGGAGACTCAACTATACTCTATCCTCTTGTGTAACCGACAGGAAAACAGAGAGCCAGGAAGTTTGTGAAGCCTGTCCACAGATACTCATGCAGCTGAGCTGTGTCTAGGACCAGGGCTCTTTTTATCGAGTATCTCTTTCATTTATATGACCCATGTTTACAAGGGACTCCTCAGCTCTATGACCTTGTTTATTATACTGTATCCCTCAGCTCATGGAAATGGCTTCCTCTCATTTCCCCTTTTGTTTTTGGGAGATTTTTTTTTTTTTACAGTTTTTTTTTTGGCTAGGGCGGGGCTTGAACCTGCCACCCCTGGTATATGGGACTAGCGCTCCACTCCTTGAGCCACAGGCCCCACCCTCTCTGGGAGATTTTTTTGCATTCTCCAACTTGTATTGCAGCAGCTGATTGTATTTTGACCTTTAAATTAAAAAAAAAAAATGTATGTGCACACACAGAAAGGAGTACATGGAAGAAACAGCAGCAGGTCTCCCTGGATAACCCAGTGCAGGCCACATCTTGGCAGGCACAAAGCACAACTGGAGGCGCTCTTCCCACCTGAGTTACTTCCAAGACTTTAATGCTAACAAGCTCAAAAAACACTTACTTTTTGAAAGAGGTCTGGGAACATTTATAGGCTACCTTTTAATGAGTGTCATTTTAAAATAGAAGGGCCAGCCCTCCTCATGTAGTTTTTGCAGTAAATCCTTCCAAGAATCAAGAGTGAAGACAATTCATTTCTCCTCCTGCATTTTTTTTCTTCTTGTGAGGTTACTATATTATGGTATAGGTAGAAAACATTAAAAAAGATAAGGGGTACATTTTGCATGTGAAAGAGGAAATCAGACAATAAATGCAAAAAAAAAATAACCTCTGTAGAAATTAAAAATCAGAACTTGGGGGTAGGGTGGAAGGCAACACGTTCTTTTCACAGAGCTGTTAGGCACAGTCCTCAGAAGCAGGGATGGGGAGACAGACACTCAACTGCAGGAGGAGGCTGGGGTTTTAGCCCGACAGCTTCAACACCGGGCTGGCCGTCAAGGGCCAAGGAAGATAAATCCACTTTGGTTTTTAAGGCTTTAGTCAACTTGGCCCCCAGCAGCTCGTGGAGGGACACACCATGGTGAGAGTACACCCGGTTTTTCCCTGTCCAGTCGTAGCGTCTGGGCTCACTGGATGGAGAAGATAACTGGATCCGCTTGTTTGGAGTCTGCTTGTTGATCACATAGGTTCCTAGACCTCCACCCAGTTTAATTGTTAAGACGCCACTCCCAAAGGAGACATCATAGTCCTCAAATGTGTAAGGCTTGTCTGCAAGTTCTTCAAAAAACTCTGCTAGGGGTCCCCCGTTTCCTCTGCTAGTCTCTCATAGGTGGTCTACATCTAGAGAACCTGGCTTGCCCAGAGTTCCTGATTTTCTCAAATTCATCAGATAGACCCTCTGCTTTTTGACATTCAGAATCTGATTGAGGCAGTGGAGGTTGAAACTGGCGAGTCGGGGCTCGAGGGCCAGGGCGGTTCCAGTGCAGAGGCTTCCCCAGAGCCGCGCGGACTCCACCCGCCGAGGGGCAGGGGTGAAGGCCTGGGCTGGGCCTGGGAGCGCCCACCAGGGCAGAAGACCCACAGCTGCGCCTGACCTAAGTTTTCTAAGGCCTCAATCACCAAGTTGTGAGTCAACACCGAGTTGGTTGGGGAATATTCCTTGTGCCTGGGTAGATTCACCCAGCTCCACCTGCCCACTTTATGTTGCGAGTTCAGGTCACTTTGACCATGAGGTGGTAAAGCACCACCCTTTAAAGAGAAAACTTGAAAGGCCTAGGTCCAATTTCCTTAATGTATGCACTTATGCTTTAATATATTTAGAAACATCCCATTTCTCAATCCAGATGTGAGCAGAAAACTATAGGAAAATGCATTTTCCTCCTCGTTTGGTTAACCAGAGCATGACTCACTGAAGGCAACCATTCTGGGGATAACAGACACAGGTGCACTATGCACTCTTGTGTGCCAGTGGGGTGAGCTTGTTCTAATCATGGACCCTGTGAGATGCCCTCACTGCTCTGTGGTGGTGAAGCGGTTCTAACGTCTTTGCTCCTTGCTCCTCACCATGTGGCTGATTTGAGCTTGAAGATGGATGAGGGGGTTTTAAAAAATTGTCCAGGCCGGCAG